TATTACAAGAAAAAGAAAATAAGAAATAACACATGCCATAAAACAAATATAATTCACATAAACACTCTTACACTATTATTGATTGTTAGTTAGTTTACACATCCTCTGCACCGGGGAGTTGGCTAAAACATTGGATCTGCAATTCCTCAAATAAAACTGATTTGTACTACGTGTTGCACGCGTAGGCACCGCGAAAATGATCCGCGACAACAACCAACCACAATCCAATTCACCTTGCACTAACTTCTGCAAAAACTTGATGCACTGGTCATCTCTTCTTACGTCTAGTGCAGAAAAATTGTGACGCCGCAGCAGGGATGCGTAATCCATTCCACGATCCGGGTATGATCCGTCCAGGCGTAGAGACAAATATTTGAGAAATCTCCTCTGAATTCTCTCCAATATAAGTCTATGACACACATAATGTGGCGACCAAATTACAGAGCCATATTCCAATTTGGACAATACAAAGGTCGAAAATAGGGTCTTGTACACACCGATATCAGAAAAAGCACGCGAGGTGCGCAAAACGAAACCAAGCATCCTCGCTGCAGAAGATGCAATATTTTCGATGTGAGGTACAAAAGACAATTTGCGGTAAAAAGTTACTCCCAGATCCTTGATTGTAGATAGTTTCTCAAGAAGAACACCTTTTATATAATAAGATGGAAGAGGAGACAGCTTGCGTGTAAAACTAACCGCACCGCACTTATTGGCATTAATCTTTAGCTGATAACACCATTCCACCAAGACGTCCAAATCCGACTGGGAATAGTTTCAGATCATCCGCATAAGCTAGTACGCTTGATGAAAATTTGTCTAGAAGGTCATTCAAGAAGATAACAAATAGTAGGGAGCCTAGATTTGAGCCCTGAGGAACACCAGACCTAGCTGTAAACTCCATAGACGCATAACCGTTGTAGTACACATAATTTATACGACCCGATAGGTAAGAGGCAAATAGTTTCATAAACTTAGGAGATAAGCCAAAAGCACTAAGTTTATACAAGAGGACGTCATGATGAATCATGTCGAATGCTTTAGAAAAATCAGTGTATACCACATCTACCTGACCGCCCCTATCCAAAGATTCACAAATTACCTCAGTAACCACCGCGAGGTTGGTAATGGTCGAACGACGCTTGATAAACCCATGCTGATATGGTGACACAAATGACTGAACCTGTGGATAAATCATCTTGTAAATAATCTGTTCAAATACCTTAGCGAAATTGGACAATAACGATATTGGTCGATAATCAGTAATGTTGGTACGTTCGCCATGCTTGAATACAGGAACAATGCGTGAGCGCTTCCAAAGTTTAGGAAACGAGCAAGTGCTTAAGGATAGGTTAATTA